AGTTTTTTTGTTTTTGCTTTGTATGTAAACACAAAAAGCTGGTTTGTAGTATTACTGTAGTTTTTCAGTTTTGCCACATTCCTGACATGTATTGACAGTAAGAAAATTAGATCAATAGTGTGTGAGTAGACAATGCGTAAACATTTTAGAGAACACAGAGCGTGGTATGTTTATTCAAGGATACACAATAATAAAAACATTTGAAAATATAAAATTAAAACACATTAAAATCCTCTCCCACTACACTGGTGCTGGCCTTCATCCACACTCTATGCTGAGGCTGCAGTTCATCGTCATCCTCGTTGACATGAAACTAAAATGCTTGTAGCACGGACCACCTGGAGTCTTTGATCACAGGAAGCTGGCCACCACAGTTACAAGTGTCAGAGCTAAGAGGAGGTGATAGGCCCTGACCACCAGGCAGGAATTACAGTACGGCCCTTCACAGCAGGCGTAGCTCATGGTGTAGACACTTCCTTTGAAACGGAGTTTGTGCACCTGGCTGCAGTCTTTCTTGGCCATGCAGCCTCGAGCCGACAGGGCGCTGTGATTCCCGAAGCGACCATCTGCCCTGAAGCACAGCTCGTCGGGAGGACACTCTGTCACAATGGGCTTGAATGACTTCTGCTTCTCCATGATGGGGCTGTAGTAGCAGCGCAGATTGTCACACAGCACCGAAGGGAGGAGGTGAAGGCACAAAACAGACAACTGCAGAAACTGGGACATGGTCAGCCTGCAGGAAGTCAAAGCAAAGTCTGGTGACAGAGCAATTGGAAATTATAGCACAAAAAAGGTTTGAATTTATTTTAATCAATATTATTAATTTGTTATGGGAAAAAATGTTTAGTTTATATCCATCATTCAACAACATCTTACCTGCACATTTTGTATCCTACAGAGAAAACCTCCAAAAACTGACTCCAGATCTGTCTGAGGAAACACACCTGTTCTACATTCACTCTTCAATTATGACATACATCAATCACCACAAAGTCTTTGTTTAATTTTGCTCTTATTTGTAAAGGAGCACATAGATCTATGATTTATTTATTTTTTCTCATTGGAAATATATACAATACTTACAACAAACACCAACTATCACAGCATTAACATATGGCCAAATGTTAATGTCTTTCAGAGGTGCGTTAAAGGACCTGTGGCTAACAGGCCTCTGGGCAGTCTGGGTCTGTCTAAGCTGTGACAGAAGGTACCGTGTTGTTCCTCACTGTTGTGTAGTTACCACATGAATCCCAAGAGTTCTGTCTGAGGACATGGTTCATACTGACGTCGTCTGTCCCCTGTGTCTCCAGCCCCAGGAGCTTCTTCAGACTGGAGTCCGACTTCGGTTTGCTGTTACATTTATGTCCACAGCAGCAGGTGTGACTGGCGTTGTACTCGATCCCTCTGTGGGAGAGGATCTGGTAGGAACCACAGAGCGTGCGGCTCAAACAGCCCTGGGATGAGACGATGTGGACGGAGCCGAAGTAACCTCTGGAGCTGGAGCAGAGATGGTCCGGCGGACACTGGGTGGTCAGGTTGGTACAGGTTTTGCCTTTGTACTGTAGAGGACAAAAGTGACACAGCAGGGTGTCCAGGGTTACAGCTGGGAGGACCAGAGCTGTGGACAGCACAGTGACGGTCAGGAACCAATGTGGTCCCATGTGACGAACACCTCGTCTGTATAGAAAAAAATATGCTAAATTAAAACAAAGGACATTAATGTTTGTTTTTTCAGTGTTTACAGAATATGTACCATTTACCTGTCCATTCTTTGTGATCTCATACTGCAGCAGCCTGCAAATCCTCAAAATTAAGACAGAGCTACTGATTAGCAAACACCAACAGCTGTGACTTTGGCTCCTAATCAGCTGACACATGGGCACGGTCAAAGTAGCAGCACAGAGACAGAGAAAACTACTCATAAACATCAACAATAAACATCATTTATATTTGAACTTAGTTTTAAAAATGACGATTTCTCCTCTTTTATCGGTGTCCACTGAGATTTAAAGTAGAGTAACAGTGCCATCTATTGGCTACTGTGTTGAATAACCTTGATGTTAACAAACACATTAAGAACCCAGACGGAATGCTTTCCGCGCCTTATTTTTTATTTTTAATATATTTAGAAATAAGACATGTGGTGATGAATGGTGTGTGTATCGTCCGTTTTTAATGATACATTTGTTTTCACGTTCCATAATCAGATGAAAAGGACAGTCTTCCCTCCGTGTACAATGGTTCCTATTGGGAAAAAATAAATACAAATAAAATCTTCCTGAATTAAACTGTTCCTGCTGCTGACTCGTTAGACACATTAGTGCTGCCCTTACAGTCACGTCCTCATCGTCGTCCACGTCATCATCTCTCCATTCGTACTCCTCTGCAGGGTCGTAGTTGTACAGTGGAATCAGCTTGTGACGTAATTCATCCACTCTGAAGTGAATTAATAAAAGGATAAATGATTTGAGGTGTAGTCAGTGGGAATTAGGTCGTATTACACTCATTTCGGACGGCAGAAATATAATTAAAAACATTCTATGACGTCATTCACAATTTTAATTGAATTGTAGGTAGTTTGTTATGAAGCTGCCAAATTCATGACATGACGTTTTGTTTGTTTTTTAGCCAACAATAAACAAGGTTCCTAAAGTTTACTAGTAAAATGCTTTTTCTTAAGATGGTGCTGAACTTTAAAAACATTTTCACTGTAAAAATAAGAAAACAATAGTTAAAGATAGAAGAGTCCAACCCACCTTATTTTTTTCCTCACATATACAATCTGAAGGGGGAAAAACACACTGTTGTAATCAAGGATGTGGTGTGATCAGACATTGTGGAAGTCGTCTTGGAGCAGAAATGTTCTCACCACTGCTACAGCACATCCAATCAGGAACAGGAATATAAACGGGGTGATGACATAACCAGCAGTGGGGCTCAGAGGTGAAAGGTTTGGAGTGGTGTGATTGAAAGTCATCTTCCTCTTCCTTCTCCCCCGTCATGCAGTACTCCCCTCTGCTCTGAGCACCACGGGTGACACCTTTGTGATACATTTGGAGGATTGCCGTTGAAGTGAAACATGAAACTGAAACATGGCGAACTGTAAAACGCATGGTCAAACATGCAACATGTACTCTGTAATAAGTTGCCAAATGAACAGGTCCAAATGTCCTTCACACCACCATTCACCAGCTGTCCATCATACAGTAAATCTCACCTCATGAATCACTTGTGCTGCAGGTGAAGTCACGTTTCCCTCTCCTACCATTTCCCTTCACCGCACATACACACACTGTTAGGAGCTCCAACCAGCCTAATGACATTCCAGAGTGAGGAGTTGATATGATCCAAGAATCTAGTTCAGCTGCACTGGTCTGGAGTCTTTATAAACATACTAGTGACATAGTATCAAGAGAGGAAATTAAATATTGGAAAATATGTTTTCTGTTGACTTTTTAATCAGATTTAGTCATGTCTTATATATCGTTATTGATGATACAATTACATTTATGAACATTAACAGGGAATGTCAGTAAAACTGGAAATGTTGGTGAGCTGCAAACAGCCCAGCTGCAAGATACACTGTCAGTAAAAAGTAATATAAAAGAGTAAAAATTCAAGTTGTCAGTGGGGGGAATAATTATTAATAAAGTATGATGCAGGTATGCAGTCTTAAATTCTACTTCCTTTTTATGGTAAAGTTTACGTTTTGATAAACTAACAGAAGCCTTGAAGCAAGTTATTGTTTAGAATCTTTTTTAAATGTTGTACTATGATTCCTCCAGCAGAGGGCGCTTGTTGGTCGAGCTGTGGGAGGAGACCTAGGGCGGGAGGAGGAGGAACCAGAGGAGGACCTTTATCCTTCTGGTTCTGGTCTAACTTGCTGAGCCTGGTCTTAAAGAGCGTTGACGGTGTTGCTAGAATAGCGCCTCCAACCTAATGGTAAGTTGCCAAAACTCAAATTAACTCCTGAATTAAACAATTACACTATAATGTGTTAACAATCAGTCAGCTATTACGCTGACTCTGTGTGGGCAGTTAAAAGTTTCTTCCATTTATTTATTGTAGAAATGGTCAGATTAAGGTTTGGAGGTGTGAATGTTTTTATCTTTTTTCATTTTACTGTTTCACTTTCTATAGGACTAGCTCTGCCCAGCTATCGAGAGGTGGAGATTTCCTGTTTAGATTTGAAATGCTGTTAATTATTAGACAAAGTTAACAACCTTTGTCTTATTTTCTACTGAAGTCACAGAACAATACATACTGATTCTTATACTATATTTATTTCTTGTAGTCTTTTTTTTCTCCTAATACCAACATCCTGACTTCTGCCATGCTTTGATGAGAAGATGAACCAAAAGTGTGAAACGCCTGAATCTACCACCACAGCTGATACAGACTCTATGTGAAATGTGACAGATCCTCCTGTAAGGATGTATGGAAGAGGATGGGAAGACGATGGTAATGATGGTAATGAGGGTGATGCCCCTTTGCCTCTGACACAGCATCTAGAGCAAATGCACTTGTACGAAGAAATTGATGCCCCTTCCAAGTACGAAGAAGTCAATACCCACAAGAACCACCCACCATGCCCTCAGCTACAACCCTCTCAAGATAAACCTCGACCACTCCCTGCGCCCCCCATTCCACCCAGAACTATACTTTATTCTGAACCTTGTCTTCCAAATGGTCAGGGACCCGTGCCCCCACCGGTTCCTCCCAGGACACGATTCCCCGTCAGGCAGTTTTCCTGTAACCTCCCAGGGCCCACCCACAGACTGACCCGCTCCACCACCGATACTGACATTCATGTAAGAATGTCACACAAATCCTGGTCTTCATTTTTGAACCAATTCCTCCTCGTAACAGTTTGAAGTTCCAGGGTCTTAAACTGTTTTGTGTTGTCTCTTCCCACCAGGATCAGTGGACCATCTCCCTGACTGACACTCCACAGGGCAGCTGTAAGAGGCTGACATCGTTTTGTGAGGCAACTGCCAAGTAAGGAGATGAAACAGAAACTCATTCTTACATATTTCAGGGAGTTTCACCGTCTCTGTGGAAACCAAACCATTTTGGTCTTTGTTCTCAGGTTGATGTCGGGCAATAAACACACCGAAGGTGTTCAAAATGTAGGTGTAGTGTGGGGACGCACCAAACAGATCCACTCTGCTCTGCTGCAGCAGGTGGAGGTGAATGTCAGTGTGGCCTCACAATGGGACCATAACCAGATTCAAATCCTCACCACTGGTAAGATCATTCTCTACTGTACTACATATTGACATGTAGTGGTACTTCTGATTACTGAATACCAGAGGTGGGCAAACCATGTTCCTCCGAGGACTGAAAGTGGAACAAGGACCATAAACTATCATTTATTTACTGCAAATAATTTGCCTTTTTTCATATTTGTGACAGCGACAGGCAAAACTATAAAATACACTTCCACTA